CCATTACAATAGCATTATAGAGCGATAGCCATGAAAGGGATGTCTGGTCCCATCGCCTTATTTTACTGAGGCTTGTGGAGAGGAAGTGACTTACCAAAGGTCATATAGCTTGGAAGTGACAGACCCAGGACACAAAGCCAGGTCAGGTGATTCCAAATCCAGGACTCTTTCCATGATGCCATGTTGCCAGCCAGACTAGTTGAGTTCAAGTCTCATTTTCAGTGTTTCAGAGCTGTGTGACTATCCCTGTGGACAGGTCACTCAACTTTTTCTTAACTTCATTTTCCCTATCTATAAAATAGTCTTAATGATATTGCCCTATTAATAACACAGGGCTGTTGTGAGACAAGTTCTTTGTAAAACTAAAGGCAATATTATAGAAATGTGAGCTATTGTAATAATATTAATACTAATAATTATCAAATTAGGTATAATATAGACTGTTACTATGGCAATTAGTATTTATAGATAGTAGAGATGATAATTTTTAAGTTTTTTAAATTTTTAAAAATTTTTAAAAAATAAGTGTTTAAATTTTTCTTTCAAATCTGGATAATTTCTATTACCCTTGGTAGCTGACTGGCATAGTGGACAGAGAATTGACCCCAAAGCCAGAAAGACCTGAGTTCCAGTTCTCACTCTGACACATACTGGCTGCGTGCTCCTAGGTTAATCGCTAAACCTCTCTCTGCTCTAAACTTAGAGCGCTCATAAAAAGAGATCATATTTGTAAAATACTCTGTAAACCTTAAAGCCCAACATAACTGCTAGATATTACCCTAGCTAAGCAACTCTCTTAGACTATAGATTGCAGAGAAGGTGCCAACCTTCATTGATAGATTGGGTTTCCTCAGCCAGAAGTTCCTTAGACCAATGAAATCCCAAGTATGGTCCTTATCTTTGTCCCAGTCCCTTGTTAGAAGAGGTTTTCCTGAAGTTGATATTAATGATTGTCAGCTTCAGGAAAAGCAGTCGTTTTTGTGAAGATATGAATCTCATAGGGAAGAAATGCTATTTGTGAAGCCTCAAGGATCTAAAGAGGTCAGAGGTGATTCAGCTTACTAAGGGCCACTAGCAGAGAAGGGACGAGGCTAGGACCACTGAGGGTATATTGTTCATATCCCTTCTTGGGATCTGGGAGAGATCACTTTCTGCTGCCCCCTTTCTATTTATACCTGCCCCTCTGTTTCAGCTGAGTTAGAGGTAGTTCAGCAATTGAAGTTTGTACATATCTATGTGTCATTCAAAAATAGAATACTTTGCATTTGAGATCCTTATTACTCGTGTTATTTCATTGATGAACATATTTATTTTTCTTTTAGAGTTAGTATGGCCCGAATATTGGCAGGTAGATGGCTCAGTGGATAGAGTGCCGGGCCTGGAGTCAGGAAGACCTGAGTTCAAATCCACCCTCAGACATTTACTAGCTGAGTGTCCCTGGATAAGTCACTTAACCTCTGTTTGTCTTCATCCACTGGAGAAGGAAATGAGAAACCACTCCAGTATCTTTGCCAAGGAAATCCCATACGGGGTTATGAAGAGTCAGATATGATTAAACAACAAAGCCTGGATATTAGGCTGACCTCAGAGGCAGGAAGGATTGAGTTTAAATTTAGCTTCCAACACATACTGGCTGAGGCACCCTGGGCAAGTCACTTAACTCCTCAGTACTTTAGCAGAAATGTTGGTATACTATATAGTCATTATTGTCTTTTACATAGTTATTAATAACTTCTGTGTCTTGTTCTTTGACTCATTAGTTATTAAGGATTTCATTATGAATTCTCCATGTAGATCTGTGTCTTTGGCCATCTCCATGTACCAATTGCGTGATGGTTTGTTTGTAAGACAGGTTGAAGTATTTCAGCTGTTTGCGTTTATTTTTTATTTCTTTATATCTTAATACCTGATCCATTTTTTGCAAAAGCCCCTCCTGTTAGTGTACCCCCCACTCCAATAGCTTTGATCTTTGCTATTGCTGTGGTTCTATAGCCAGCATTTGTACAGTGCTTTACGTTTTGCCAATGCTTTACAAATATTGTCATCACAATAACCTGGGGAGCTAGGTGCTAATATTATCCCCATTTTATAGATCAGGAAACTGAGGCAGATCAGGTTAAATGGCTTGCCTGATGTTACACAGATAGTAAGTGTCAGAAATATGATTGGGACTCAAGTCTTCTTGACTCTAAGTCTGGCACTCTGTGTACTGTACCACTCACTTACCTTATTTTGACTTGGACCTTTGATTTCATCGGTTAAAGAGAACTCCCCAAAAGGAAATGCCCTCTACTGATGCAGGTTGGTACCATAGCTGCAATATATAATAATAATAATAATAAGTGATAATAGGTAGCATTTATATACCACTTTAAGGTTTGCAAAGTGCTTTACAGATGATAATAATAATAGTTAGCATTAATATAATACTTTAGAATGCTTTAAATATAATTAAAATTACTAATATTTATGTAGTCTACTATGTACCAGGCATTGTGCTAAATGCTTGACAAATATTATCTCATTTGATCCTGATAATAACCCTAGGATTTGGATGCTATTATCAACCTCATTTAACAGATAAGGAAACTGAGGCATATAGAGGCTAAGCGACTTGCCCAAGGTCACACTGCTAATAAATGTCTGAAGCAGGATTTGAATTCAGGTCTGAATTCTCTAACTACAGGTCCTGTTCTCTATCCATTAAACCACCTAACTGCCCCAATGTGTTAACTTCTTTGATGTATTTAATAATAAGGTAGGTGCCAATCTGGCCTCAGGCACATAACACTTACTAGCTGTGTGACCCTGGGCAAGTCACTTAACACCACTGCCTAGCAAAAAAAAAATAATACTAAGGTAGGTGTTTTCATTATCTCCATTTTACAAATGAGAAAACTGAGGGACAGAGAGGGTAAGTGACTTACCCAGTATCACACAGATAGTAATAAATGTCTGAAACAAGATTGGCACTCAAATCATCCTGACTCTAAGCCCACTGCAACAGAGTTTCCTGGAGGCACAAAGAGGTAGGGATTTTCCCTGAGTCACAGATCCAATATGCGTTAGAGGCAGGTCTTCCGACTCTGAGGCCACACCCACCTCTCCATCACTTACTTTGAACTTACTTTGTATACATTTTGTATTTCCCTTTCTATATACGTATTGTTCCACCTCCACTCCCACCCAGTACTGTGTAAGCTAAACGAGGGTGGAGACTATTGCTTTTTTCTCCTAAGCCCCCAGCTCAGTGCTGGGCAAATACAAAATGCTTGCAGAATTGTATTGAATTGAATTGAATTGGATTGAATTGAATTCCACAGACAAAATTACATCTGGCAGAGTCCAGGCCCCTGAAAATTTTCATGAGTGTGTATCAGCTCTCTTTCCTATTATCAACTGAGTATACATACCTATGACTGAATACTGGCCTGTTTTCTGCCACCAGCTTCTGCATCCACTTAGCATTACTTTCATGAGGTTACTGGGGGAGTGTGCGATTGAACTGCGTGGGAGCTTTGGCAGTGCTCTGCTGGAGGTGAGATCAATCGATAGTATCTATTTATGCTTCTGAAAAGTGGACATTTGTAACCAGAAGGGCTTCCCTTTCCTTGGGAACTGCATGCCCTGTATCTCTCCAAGTGGCAATTCCATGGATTTTTATTTGTTATCAGCCCTGAAAAAGGAAGGCCAAATAACTCAGTTGTTTCATAACTGGTAATGATAAGGACACATAGCAGTTTCTCCTCTTAGGTCACTGGTTCAAATCAGTGCAGAGATAATCATTGCTTACCTTTGTTGCAATCTGGTTCGTTAGATGTTAGCAGTTGAAAGGAACTGGTCCAGGGCCCAAGGAAGATGTTTTCCTGTCACTAGAAAGCTCCATCACACAGGGCCTTGCCCTGGCACTTGAAAGAGTTGAACCAAAGGACATCAGCACTTAGGGTCTGCATTACGTCTAGAGAATTTTGTCTGATCTTTCCTGAACAGAAGGACAGAGGGCCTGGCACTCCTTATTGTATAGATTAAAAGGGAATCCATTAGTTCTCCAGGCCATTAACTGAGTTCGTGTAGTAGGCGATAAATTCCCATCTTAAATAAATAAATAAGTGCCTGAGTGGTTAACAAATGCTCAGACCCCTTGAAATAGCAGTTTTGGGATCAGTGTTGATGAGGCTGATGTTGGCGGTATATAGTTATACCAAAACTATTACTTGCAAAGGCATTAGGTATAGAATGATTTGTCTCATGATGATTGTTACAAATTTCTTTGGAGCTGTGCTAAATCTAAAAATCATTATGCTATGCCAGAAATTCACCCTTTGCCCCTGAACTACAGCAATAAAAAAAAGCATATCATAACACTGAGAAAAATGTCCACCACAATGGATGTGTCTTCTAAAGGATACGGTATGTTATATATTCTTTTTTTTCTTTTTTTTTTTAAATTTCTTTTTAATTTATGGAATAAAGCAAACATTTCCATAACATAGTATAATAAAAAAAAGATTGCACATGAAACTGCAAATATACTATGTATAACTTGTTATTTCTTTTAAATATACAACAAATTGTCATGTAAATTTCTTTTTCTTTTTCTAAATATAGCATGTTACATTTTCAACATGTTCACATCTTTGCTGTTCGGCCTTGGCAAATCAGTTTGGTTGCTTTGTCTGGCAGTCTGGTGCCTTTTTTAGGGCCACTTTAATGAGGGCAGAGGGGTTTAAACATCTCACTCTAGTCTGGGTATAGCTGATGGCACCACGTCAGGGCTGTTTGTGATTGCTAAAGGGATGTAGCATTCCTTCACAATAGGTCCAGTCACATTCAATCTTCTTTTATTCAGTCATGCTTGAGGGTGAAGCAAAGAGCAGCTGGTAAATGTGTTTCTGATCCTCTGGGGAGTTCTTCCAGATCAGGAGACTGCTGACCTAATCAGAAGTCCTTGGGACAGTACTCTGAGAACCACTTAGGACCAGTGCGTGAAACTCAGAAGCCCCCTCCTCCATCAGAGCTGTGGGAGGCTAGGGGCCACCCTCTGCAGAATCAGCCCAGTGTTCCAGACTGGTGATTGGCCAGAAGAGACTGAAGTCATATACCGGTTACAGCAGGGAGACCCAAGGTACAGCCAGAGCTCCTCTTTGGAGATACTGAGCTGAAAGTGGTCACTGATTGCTGCTATCTCGGAAATGTGCTGACAACTGAGGCTCTGCTAAGAAAAAGAAGTAGAAATCTATCAAGACGGCCAGGAAGTCTGTTGGCAAAAAGGTTAGCAAGCTGGATATGCACGGGTAAACCTGCAACAGAAGGGCAGATGGAGAGGAAACAATGCCTGCACATCCAGGTAAAACTCTCAGTCACTGCCTTCTCTGCTGGTGGTCTGCTCTTCCTCTCTGACTCCACTCTTTTCCATCCTATGACCTTGAAGATGTTTCTTTCCTTACATCTCCTGGCTCTCATCAAAACCTCCCAATCTGATTCTGACTTCCTGACTTCAGCCGTCACCACTTGGCTTTGTTTTCCCTCTCCCAACCCCCATATTCAGGATTGTACTTCCTATCTGCTATTTCTGCTTTCCCTAGAACCTGCTTTCAAGTTTCTCTGTCTACAAAGTATTAACTTGACCTTCAATCCTGATTTTCCCATTTACTTTACTGTTCAGGTTCAAAGTTCTTAATTCTGAACTATATCTTTATTCATCAGTTCAGCCAGAATGACTCAGAAAGATGGACCTTAGCCCCTTTCCATGAAAACATAATTGTTGCACCACAACCTTACGTAGAATTTTAAAAGCACTTGGGGATCAGTTTTCAAGATGACTTAAAGATGTGAAGATTCCAGAAGAATGGAAAACATCATGGGTGGTACGTTCCCAAACTAATTTTTAAAAGGCAACTAAGAAGGCTTCTACAACTATTGATTCCAAGAACTTACTTTCTTCCCTCTTTAAAATTTTTATGGGAATGGCTAGTGCATATATCAACAGTGTTCTTCATAGAAGAAGGAGAAGGGAACAGGCAGACTTTCACAGACAGTTTTCTCTGGGAGATCAACATAATCACAGTGACACAACTGAATTAATGAATAATAATGATAATTATAATAATTATACCTAACATTTATATAGTGCTTACTATGTGCCAGGCACTGTGCTAAGTGCTTTACAATTATTATCTAATTTGGTTCTCATAACAACCCTGGGAATTAGGTGCTATCATTATCCCTATTTTACAGATGAGGAAACTGAGACAAACAGGGTTAAGTGACTTGCCCATGGTCTCAGAGCTAGAAAGTGTCCAAGGCTAGAATTGAACACAGGTCTAAATGAATAGCGTAAGAGACATAAAATCCTGCTGCATCAAATTTTTTTTTTAAAGCATTTGACTTGGTAGAAGGAGGTTCTTTTCAAAGAAGGTGTTTCTCATGAATATGTTAAATTTACAAAGTTCTGTGACAGATGTAGCAAAGGACATCATTTTGTTCAATGTAGCACTGAATTATCAACATAAAAGGAGGCATAAAATAGGGAGACATATACTCACCAAGGTATTTCCCAGTGCTGTGAAAAATGGCCTGCACAGAATCCAAACAGAAGAGGGATTCTCTGCTGATGGGAAGATTCTCCAGATGCTCCTATTAATAGGTGAATTTGGGCCTATTGTCTGAACACTACAGGTTGCTTCTCATAGTGATGAGATCCATGTGGAATCAAGAGAATTAGCCCCACCTACCACCATGGAAAAACATGGCAGATGAAGCATGCTTATTTCTCACATTACAATACATAATTGCATGGTCAGACATTGAGTTAGTATACCAGGAAGCTTGGATAGGAAATGGACAATGAGTTGGACCCAGAATTTAATAAGAGGAAGAGTGGTCTGGATAGCAATTGAGAAATTACACAGAGATCCTAAGTTGCTAGGTGGGGCAGTGGATAGAGCACTAGGCCTGGAGTCAGAAAGACCTGGGTTCAAATCTGGCATCACGTACTTATTAGCTGTGTGACCCTGGGAAAGTCACTTAGCCCTGTTTGCTTCAGTTTCCTCATCTCTAAAAGGAATTGGAGAAGGAAATGGCAAACCACTCCAGTATCTTTGCCAATAAAACTCCAAATAGCGTTACAAAGAGGTGGACGTGACTGAAAAATGACCAGACAATGACAACCTAAGTTGCTTCCAGTATCAAAGTCTATCCTTTGAATTTTAACATTTTTCCCAGTGATGGCATATGGCCTCCATGAAACATGGAATACCATAATTTCAAAAGAATCGCAATTAAGAGTGACCTAAAAGGTAACAGAAAGGTATGTGATGGGCTTAAGTAGGCTGTTGATAGTACCAATGCTAATTTGAGAAATAAAAGTGACATAAAAGACACACTCAAGGACAAGGGGGTAACTTGGTGTAGCAGAAAGAATACTGAGAACTAGGACTTGGGTTGTAATCCCATCACTGACTTTTACTCCCTTTGTGACTCTCACTTAACCTCTCTGGGGGGGCAATTTTCTCAGCTATGAAATTGAAGGTTTTAACTCAATAGTTTCTGAGATCCTTTCCAGCCATAAATCTGTGCCTGACCAGAAAAGAAAGTAGCTGTCTATGTTCTGAAAAGCAAAGATAAAAGATTGAGAGTTCAAATTCTGCACTGGTATTTTTTAAGCATCAAAAGAAAAAGTAGGTGATCTCACGTTCACTGGTAGATTCTCTAGAGAGGATTTGTCAAGTTCAATGAACACAAATTTATTAAGTGCCTACTATATGCCAGGCACTGTGCTAAGTGCTGTAAAGAGAAAAAAAGGCAAAAAATAGCGCCTCTCTGAAAGAGTTCACAAATAGATAACCACACAAGATAAGAATGCTTAGAGTAATAATGTGGAAAGATAGTCATATTGATGATGTCATAGATTTGATAAGAATTTAGAAAAGTCTGAAAGATAAAAAAAGATCACACAAAATGAGGATGAATTTAAAAACTTAATATTAACTTGTTTTTTTTAAATTATTTTTTCAATTAACAAGCTTTTTCTCTCCTCCATGCCCCCTTCTAGATTGAGAAAGAAAAAAAACCCCTGTTTAACAAATATGCGTAGTTAAGCAAAACATATTCCCAGCGTTAGATTGTAAATTTTTGAGAGCAGGGACTGACTTTTGCCTTTTCTTTGTATCTCTAGCATTTAGCACAGTGCCTGGCTCGTAGTAAGTACTTAATAAATGCTAGTTGATTAACTGACCCACACAAGGTCAAAAATATATTTCTCATTCTGCATCTTGAGGCTTTCCTCTCTCTATCAGGAAGTGGGTAGCATTTTTTGTCATCTGTCCTCTAGAATCATAGTGGTTATTATATTGATCAGAGCTCTTAAATTTTTCGAAGTTGTTTGTCTTTACAACTTTGTCATTAATTATAAAAATTCTTACCTTGGCTCTTCTCATATTAGCCTATATCAGTTCATTCAAATTCTTCTAGATTTCCTTTGAAACCGTCCTTTTCATCATTTCTTTTAGCCCCAAACCATTCTATTCCATTCATATAACATACTTTGTTCTGCCATTCCCAATTGATGGGGGAGACTAATTCTTTAGCTTCCCATTCTTTGCCCCACAAGAAGAGTTATTGTAAATGTTTTTGTACATATGGATCCTTCTCTTGTATCTCTTTTGATATAGGCCTAGCAGTGGTATTATTGAGTCAAAAGGTACACACAGTTTAATAACTTTTGGGACATAATTTTGAATTGCTTTCTAGAATGTCTGTACCAATTCATAGCTCCACCAGTAGAATATTAATGTCTAGTACCAACTTGTAACAGTAGTATCTGGCTGGCAAAGGGACAGAATGAGCCATGGAATAGGAAAGATGCTATAGGTACTAGAAAGGGCTATTTCAGTTACATTGGGGATAAGAAGAAAAATGAAGGGAGAGGTACATTATATAGAACAGATGACATATATGTTAACAGACTCTTGAGAAAAAGCAATTATTGTTATACAATTACATTTCTCTACCATATCCTTATGAAAGTCTATCTGCTTTCTGAGGACTAGCCCAGCTCAGTTCAGAGATGCTTACCACCTGTAGGCTGGCCACCAGTGAGGAATTATTTAACCATGGAAAACTATGAAACAAATAGAAATGTAAAATGGCCCTCAGTCCTTCAGAGAGAAGAGGGGTCCTCTTCTTCTTCTATAGTTATGGTAGCAGAGTAGTGGGAGAAAAGTTGAGAAGGTGCCAAGGATCTTACAATTTTTAGACCATCTATTAATTCATGCATAGGTGCCATTAATTTAAATGTGAGCTCTACGTATTGACCAATAAGGGAGTCAAGATGGTGGAGTGAGAGCTAGCATTTTTGCCTAGCTGTTCCAACACACCTCCTCCACAACAAACTAGAAGTCACACTAAACCTAATTCAGATCAGGAAATCCAAGAAAAAGTCACAGTAAATCATTTTTTCCAGCCAAGGGCAGCTTAGGAAAGTAGAAGTCCCAGATCTGTGGACATGGAAGTGAGGTTTGTCCAGGAGTGTGGAGCAGCAGCAGCATCAGTTGTGAGCAGCTCAGTGCCCAGGGATTGTAAGGGGACTGAACACCTGGGCAGAAAGAGATCTCAACAGGGAGCAGGTATGGGTGCCACCTAGAGCTCTGTCACCCAGTAGCCAGTTCTGGGTCACAGTTCCAGGGTAGAAAGGAACCATGGTAGGTTGAAAAGGAGCAAGGGCCCTACCTGTGTAAGGATCAAGGAACAAATTCCAGAGCCACAGATACGTGACTCTGAACCTAAAAGCGGAGTAGGAACTCAGTGCTGACTTCTAGCCCCATAGGTAAGCCTGCGGTGGAATAAACAAGGCCAGACCAAGCTGAAAGGGGAGTCAGTTGTTCACTCCCTCTGAACCTACAGAACCTCCCAGCAGGCTAACTGTGACAGAGTCCAGGAGCAGTCTATGGAAACTCAAACCACAGTCAAACCAACGGATCCAAACAAAGCACAGACCAGGAGGGGAGTGACCAGATCCCTCCCTAGATCACACCACCAAAATGTACAGGTCCCCACTCCCCAGCTGTCAAAGCAGTAGAAGGATATTTTAAAAAAAGGTAGAAGCTTAGGTTAGACATATAATGACCAACACTTAGATACGCCACTGCTGGAGGAAATGCATCCTATCAAACTTGCCGTTCTCACTATACATTATAAATGAAACCAGAAGAAATAAGGAAGTGGCTGCTAAATGGAGGGGTGACTCACAAGTTCTACGTAGGCAAATAAAGGAGCTGGTGAAGTGGGGTTTTATCATGACCCATGCTGGGAGCTGACTCTGTGCCCCTCCCCCCTTCCATGCTGGGCTGAGCGTCACCCGCTTAGGCTGGGAGCCTGATTTTGACCTTCCTATGAAGAGATCTGACTGCCCCCTATGTCAGAGCGGAGCATTGCCTCCCTATTCTAGGGCCAAGCAATTGCTCCTTGTTTAGGAGCCTGGGTGCTTCTGACGGGGCACTAACAATGGACCCCTAAAAAGCCTTGGACTTTCCCCCGTGGCCTAGTCCCTGACGTTCACTGGAGGCACCCAGCCTATGCCCAGTCAATAATCCTTTTAACTGCCCTTTCATTATGGCCTTCCTTGTCTGCACAAGGCACACCCTAGGCTGTTTGCCACTCCTTAATCCCATCCAGATCGTCCCACAGTCTTTCTGTATAAAATATCAATTTTACCATCATCGGATGCACAGATTACTTAAGAATCTGGCCTGCTTGTATTGGCATCACAAATAGTGCAGACTCATTGGGAGTCTGGCCCGCTTCTATTGGTATTACAATAAACTCAATACTTGGACCAAAAGAAAGCTTGAGTACTCGAATTCTTTTG